TTGTCAAAAAACTTGGACGCAAAAATTTGAGTTTTACAGAAAATGAGTTAAACTGCTATTGGATTGAGGTAGGAAAGGATAGAGAGTACTGCAGTCTACTCATTGAGTCAGTGCCTGAGGAAGCCTTTGATTTCCCTCCAGCTTTCCCCTGCTGGTGCTGATTCATGTTGAGTTCATGCCACAGGTTTGCAACCTTGAAGTGGCTTAGCTAAGTGGCCTAGCTAAGTGGCCATTCTTCACAATTTCAAGCTATTCCATTGTGGCAACATCTCAACTTAGCCTGATACAGTCCTTGTGCTACACCCACCCATTTACAATTTTCAGGACAAGTGTCTGGCTAGTGATAAGGAGTGAGAGTGCTGGCTGATTTATTTTTCTCTTCCTCTTTCCTGGCTCAGATCCACTGAAGCCAATTGTCGCATTCCAGTGTTGACCCAGCTGAGGTTAAATTGCTCAGTTTGTCCAACTGCAAATCAATATGGAACCTTGCTAATCTCAGCACAAGCTTATCATTAAGTCATCAAGAGAGTAGAGCATGTGCCTTAACTTATTGCTTTCGGCTCCTGATGATTGTTTATGGGCCACAGCTGCTGCTCACCTTGACCAGCTTTCCTGCCTAATTGAAGGTATAATAATTCTTACAGAAATAGAGAAAGACCATAGAGCTAACTTCTTGCTGCCTTGGCAGCTGAATTTGATAACGGCTTTCTCCAAGATGCTTTCTGTTTTACCTTAATTTACAATAAGCAGTGAATGAATATTTTCTTAACACAAACCAAAAATATTATCATTGCTGAAAATCTGAAATAAAGTCAGACATTGCTGGAACTCTTCAGTAGATGTAGAGCATCTGTGGAGAGAAATTGGAGTTAATCTTTTAGGTCAGTGATGTATTAGAGTATGAGCCATGTGTCTCAGTCTTTCTACGTCTCCTTAACTTTGGTAAATATGATGGTTACCTTGCAATAGCATTATATTAACTGTGATTTCTTAGCTTATTGGTAACAACATGCTGCTATATTTAATCCAATGAACTCCACTATATGGTGATTATCCCCTTGAATTATTCCCAATGGTACCAAATGAGCGACAGGTCTGTAACTATCAGTGCTTTGTCTGAGACTTATTGAGCTCGAGATCACTCTTCAAAATCCAGATTTGGAACAAGAAAGACTTTGTGATAGCCCCCATATTATCTACACTCTATCTGGTGGGCACTAATCATGTCATCAAAGATCAACTGCTTGCTGGTGTGAGTACAAAAAACCACCCAGATGGAAAATTCTTCAACCTCAAGCATCTCTATGCCAAAACTAATCTGACTACCACAGTCGTATATGACCTGCAGATGACCACAAGCCATTGCCCACTCTGCACCAGATATGCAAACCTGTCTTGATCTCCTAAATCTGCATATCAGAGACATATCCCATCTTTGAATGTTGCTGTTAGATCTCATAGTTTCAAATGAGGATTCGAGTCACGAGGTGGTTTCAGGTAACCTTTATTGCAGCATTACTTTCAGTACAGCTTAATTTCTCCAGAGCAAAAAAGCACTCAAAAGTTTTGGAATGTCTTAACTTATTCAGTTCAAGTTTAGAACGTACACGGGGCCCCCTTTGTTTACTATTGGTTGGCAGTGCTGGATTATCCTTTTGTAATTGGATCTCTGCTACAGTATCTTATACAGTTCAACCTTACCTCAGCAATTTACTTGTGTCGTGTACACAGTTTAACTGTTGACAGCCCTTAACCCGAAGGAAGTACTGCCGCACTCAGCAATTTCAATGTATTTCCAATTAAGCCAATCATATCACTGAATGACAAAGAGATGGACAAATTTATGGTCCACTCCCCACCCCCAACCCTCCGGTTCTTTCATGATGTTACCAACTCTCCTATTTCCCTTTAATGATATGGGGGCTGCTTTTACTGTCTGAGACTGGTTTGAATCTTTTCCTCTCACGCTCTTAGTGATTTTTTGTATTTAGGTGGATCTACGACTACTTCAATCTATATCTATGATTATCTGCAGAACCTTAACTAAACCTACTATTAGTATTGTAACAGATTGAGAAACATTCACTAATTAAATGTCTTATCAATGCGTAATACGTAAACAACTGCAGCTGCATATTTTATCTCGGTTCAGTAACCTTGAGTCTATAGAGCTACTATTGTTCTACTTGTGAAGACTACACAAAGCAAATATTTTCCCAAGCTCTCTAACTACTGTCAGCCATGTTCTGCTGCTTTAGCCATGGGCAACTGTTGGTCATTTTGTGCTGCTCAGTCATGGACATCCCTAACAATTGCCAAAGTAAAACTCCTAAAGCAGCCCAACTTGGTGATCAAATATCCTACCTCCCATTTAAGTTGAAGCAAAGACTCTGGAAAATGTTGAGCACTTCCTTTTGCACTTTGGTAGGCCCTCTCTCAAAGGGCCAGAATCGATGAGGGAATCCAACACTAGATCAGCTCCGCAAGCTTAGCCTTCTGCAAACTATGGCAGTGAATGTTTGAGAACAAAGACCTCCACAAGTCAACAAAAGTCATAGTGTACAATGCATCACCACTTGTTTACAGCGGTGAGACCAGGACAGTGTATCAGCAACACATAAGGATGCTAGAGAAATTCCAACAGCAAATCTCCACTACATTCTCTGGATTCATGCGAGGACCATCGAACAAGTGCAAGTGTTCTGCTTGAAGGCAGCTCCACAAGCATTCAGGCAAAACTATAGCAAAACCAAGTATAATGGACAGGGAATTATGTCTGGATTGCTGAACAGTGCCGCCTTTATCAAGTCCTGTTTCTCATCTCTCAAACTGGCCAGTGTTCTAGGGAAGTACAAGGAGAAGACTTCAAAAACATTTTGAAATTCTCCTTGAAATGTAGCATCATTGACATTAGTGACTGGGAGGAGCTTCCAGTTGTTCAAAATAGTGACAACCAATCCACCAAGCTGCATCAGGTTTTGATGGTGTTTTAGTAATGAGGTATAGAAAAGGAAGCAAAGCTTGCAGTCCAGAACCCAGTACCTCATGGGGTGTCCTGCCCTGTGTGCCCAAAGATTTGCAAATTGAGACTCTGCCTGATTAATCATATGAAGACCCACAGCGGAAACTTGTGAACTTAAGTAGACATGGATCTCAAATTGAGGGATAGCTGATGACAATGCAGAAAATATTGTCTAGGCTCAACCAAATTTTGAATTGTTCCCCCTAGATACTTGAACTGAAGTGCATACAGTGATGGTATCTAATAGGTTTTGTTGTTGGACAATAAATACCAAGTAATTGAAGGTAACAAGGTATACAGGTGTTGCATGTTAGTTAGTGAATCTTGCAACACAGTGGTAGTGTCCCTACCTCTAAGCCAGGAGGTCTAGGTTCAAGTCCTATCTGCTCCAGAAGTGTGTCATAGCAGCTCTGAACAGGTTGATTAGAATATAGCTGTGATACAGTAGTAGTGTCCTTATCTCTAGGCCAGAATGTCCAGGTTCAAGCCCTACCTTCCCCTCAGTCTGTCATAACATGTCGAAACAACTTAGTTAAAATAATTACTGGAGTGTAGTGGTTTTCAGATTCACCTAACACACTAAAGGAGCCCAATTAGATACTGAGCAGAAATGTCCTAAAAGAGTACTGGACTACGTAAATGAAGAAGCTAGCCAGCACTAAGGGTGGTTGTGTAGAGTGGAAATGTTTGTGCACTTAAGCTAGCAATAAACAGTTTCCCCACCAAAGCATTGAAGTTTCAGACTATTTTTCATTAGTAGGCTTTATTATGTTACCTCTAACGTGCACCATGAAATTTCACGTCCTCTTCCAAATTACTTGGCTCAGGTCATACTGCTGTCCTCTCTGAGTCGGAAGGCTATATGTTCCAGCTGCATTGCAGAGTTTTGAGTAGATAATAAAAGGAAAATACTGTGGATGTTAGAGATCTGAAATAAAATGGAATGTGCTGCAGACCCTCAGCAGATCTGGCAAAATGTACGGGAGGGAAACAAAAGTTAAAGTTTCGAGATGCATACGAGTCTTCTTTGACATTCCAGTTCACCAGCACTTTCTTTTTATTTGAGTATTAACCCTTCAGTACAGAACTGACGGTCCTGCAGTGTGAAGATATTGTCTTCAATAACATGCTAAAGCAAAGCACTATTTTAACTCTCAAGTGAATATCAAAGAAAACAGAAAATATCTTGTGGTACTATTTGAAAGAAGAACAAGAGAGTTCTTTTTAGGCTTTCTCTGCCATATTTCTGACTGTGTCATTATCACTAAAGAAAACTATCTGATCATATGTTTCAAAACTGTTTGAATGATATTGCTGTGTGCAAATTGATTGCCGTTTTCTCACATTACAACATTGGCAATAATTCAGAAGTACTCAATTGACTATGAAACATTTTGCGATAGCCGAAGACCATGGAAAATGCTATTTCAATGTAAGTTCTTGCTTGAAATTTCAGCGACAACTCTGTAACATGGATTCATTGACTATAAGACCATAAGATGTGGGAGTAGAAGTAGGCCATTCAATGAGATCATGGCTGATCCAACAGTCCTCAACTCCAGTTTCCTTACTTTCCACCATAATCTTGATTCCCTTTCTGATTAAAAATCTGTTGACCTAGCCCTGAATATACTTAACAACCCAGCCTTATCAGCCCTCTGCAGTAAAGAATTCCACAGATTCACTATCCTCTGAGAAAAGAATTCCTCCTCATCCTTGACTTAAATGTGAGTCCCCTTATTCTGAGATTGTGCTTCTGGTCCCAGACTCTCCCACAAGAGAAAATAACATTTCCTGTCGTTCCCCCTTTTTTAAAATGAAATCGTTAGTGACAGTATCGTAACATCAATTAATGGGGTTTTGCAAAAGGCTTAGCAACTTTCTAGAAAGACTTCACACCTTATTGATGCACTGCATGTTATCTTCTTCTTCACAAATTGTTTATTTCTGTACCTAATGAGTTGCTTCTTATTTTCAGATCTCCATTTCAAAATGATAATGAATCAGAGGCTGACCCCTCAAGGTAAATGTTTAAATTAGTTTTTATTTCTTGTTTAGTTAATTTTGCCTTCTCCAGTAGTTTAAATAGACCATTGGTTTAAAACCTAACAGACCCTCAGCAACTATTAACAAAGCAAATAGGTGTTGGACTACCCGGTAAAACAGTAGAAAGTAAGGACAGTAAAGCAGGTAGCTGGAAAACAAAGTGTGTCAGCCAACTCCATTGTGGCAGAGGCCAGAACTGAGGAAGAAAGACATGCTGAATAGAAAGTTATTTGGTCAGGATAGAAGATGGAAAATTAATTTACTTGGACTGGACAACGCAGTAAACCCAGGGTCGGTGTTGGACATCCAGAGGATGGTCCTCAAAGTTGGTATACCCAAGAGGGCAAGTGGAAGTAGTGTACTCACAGCATCATTCCTGAAGGTGGTATACCTCAGGGTTATGTGCCAAAAGATAACTATTTAAACAGATCCCAAGCCTACGCATTTATGGGACAGGTTTATTTCAGTTAGCCATACTCCATAAAACTCTCACCCCACTTATCACTACTCCCCATATTTATACAACCAATTCGAACCCAAGTAACTCTTCGTTATTAGATCCATAATTTATTCCCTAACTCCATTATATCTCAGACATTCCTTCAGACTACATTAGATGATAACAGGGGTCAGTGCTGAAGATAGTATACCTTAAGGGTCAGTTTTGGAAGTTGTATACCCCAGAGGTTGATCTTAAAGTTGGTGTACTCTAGATGTTAATATTGGAAATAGTATATAGTTGTTGCTGAAAATGGTATACCCCAGGGGCCAGACTAGAGATGGAATATCCCAAGGGTCATAGTGGTATTCCCTAAAGAGTCTGAGTTGGAAGTGGTACACACCAGGTAATCGCTGCTGGAATTGGTACACCCAGAGCCCGGTCCTTGGAGATCAGTAGTGGAAGTGATATGTTCCAGGACTTGGTGCTAGATCATCTTGTTTTAACAGAATTAATGTAATTTGGGTTTGTATCTGACGAATGAACTCTCACAATTAACTAATCACAAAAGTATAAAAATCACAAAACGCCAAGAATTGATCAAGTGAAGAAGAATGTGAAATAAGTTAATAAAGCATCGTCTGGTGGAATGACCAAGGGTATGTGGATAAGTCCACAAATGTTCACTCCCTCCACTACTGATCTTGTACCACCTACAAGATGCATAGCAGAAAGTCACCAAAGATCCTCAGCACCTTCCAAACCCATGAGCACCACTGCTAAAAGGTCAAGGGCAACAGTTAGATGGGGACAACACCACCTGCAAGTTCTCCTTCAAGTCACTCACCATCCTGAGTTGGAAATATATCATTGTTCCTTTAATGTCACTGGGTGAAAATCCTGGAACTTACTTCCTAATAGTATTGTGGTGTACCTACACCAAATGGACTGCAGCAGTTCAAGAAGGCAGCTCACCTTCTAAAGGATAACCAAGGATGGGTAATAATGCTGGTCATTGTTATGCACACCCATGTGTGAATAAAAAAAAAGTTGATGATCATACATTTTTAAGGAAAACAAGGATTGGACTTGGCTCTCAGGCAGAGTCTGTTGCATGTTTTCATGGAAATGTAGATAAATATTTGATGCAGAAGAAAGCTGTAGCTCTGAGGAAATAATAGAGAAATGGGATTATTTTACCGTTTCTTAATAAAGATCTAGAACACATACAATGGACTGAAAGACCTCCTGTTTTATTTTGTGTTTCAGAGGGGAGTTCACTATGTGTTAGTCCAACTGGGTCATTCTCAGATACTGCTCAATTGAGTTCCAGAGATCATTCTACAGGTAAATGATTACCTCCTTCATCTCCTTTTGCAGGCTATTAATCCTTATCCATTGAGCTGATTGTCCAATTTCAACATGTAGTAAAAGCTGCATTTTTATGACATACTCAACAGCTGGAGTCAGGAGCTGCATTATCATGAAGTGGGCAGGAGAGCAGGGTCAAAGCCCAAGATTGTATTGAATGGCAAAGCAGGCTTGATGGGCCAAATGGTCTACTCCTGCTCCTGTCTTTTGTGTTCTTTTGTACTCTTCTTTTGCTGCATTGTGGTAACACGAGTGTGGGATTTCTTCAGTTACACATTATTACAGCTCTTTAATCTGTCCTGTGTTTGAATGTAATTTACACATTATAACTGTTATTATGTCTGACAGCAAAATATCAAGCATTTCCATGAAAAAGATAATATTTTGTGGATTTGTGCACTAGTGGAATGTTTGAATGAAAACCAACAGGTTTACTTCCCTTTGTACTCTAGCTTCATATTTTGCAACTAGATCTCTGAGAATTGAACCTTTCTCCATCAAGTATAATTTTCCCAGACCAATTTTGACATTTTCCTTCATTACCAAGTTATAACAATCATCATCCTCCCCAAATCCAATCTTGCTTTAAGATGTTGATCTGGGAATTGTCTTCACTGATCACATGAGAAAGTTGAACAATTGTAATTGATCACGCAAGTTGATTCAGAAATCTGTAGTAACATTGTTATTTTATAATTAAACCAAAGGGCACTAATGGTGCAGTGGTGGTGTTCCCATGTCTGGGACAGAAGGTCTGAGTTCAATTTCCACCTGTCTAGGAGGTGTGTCATAACATGTCCAAACAGTTTGAATAAAAACAACTATAATTAAACTGAAAGAAGTAACTGCATCAAAGAGTCAAATGCACCAAAATACTTTATTGGCTGTAAATTGATTTGAGAAGACCTGAGATCATGAGAGGTGTTACACAAATGTAATTGTTTTCTAACTGCAAGTAATATAAGGAAAACGTGAATAAAAAGCTTACGTAACCCATTGAAATCTGAAAATATGCCTATAGTACATTAAAAACTGGCCACTAGCAACATCCATGGGTATTCACATAGCACATCTGTCATTTAGCATTGCTACATGCTATTTTAATTTTGTTGGCTATCGGCAATTCCAGGAAAACAAACAGTTATGTAAATGTAAAGAGTATTTGTCAAAGTTTTCTGAAGCTTCATATTGTGTTGTTTTTGCTTGAAGTATATTAATATATGTTACATATAAAGTATTAGTTTGGTTTAATTTTATGGTTGATTGAAGACTTGGCTGTGTACTCTATTAGGAAATATAAGTGTTACAGATTTAGAAACTAGCTGCATTATTTCCACATCTTACATTTTTGGATGTGCCTGTTTTCCAGTTTTTTGATTGTTTAATCCAATTGTGTAAATGTATACCTCCTAAAGATCTGAATAATCATTTATTTACTGTATCAAGTCTTTCCAATCATTTCAGCAAGTGAACATGCAATTTAACAGTTACAGATGTTCAAATTCATTGAATTCCATTAGTTTCTCTTTGGATAATATGACAAAACAATCACAATGCTACAATTGCCAACATCTGTGACTTATCCTACTTGGATTAAATAACATAACCTTTAAATGCTTTCCAGCTTTGAATCTTCCCATCAGCCTCTGCTGGACAGGGATTGGCTTCAATGTTACCTGCTTGACAAAAACTGACTTCTGTCCTTTTAACTTGCTGTCCCTTTAACTGTTTTTCACCCTGAAACAGGGCTTATATTAGAAACCCCACAGACTGCCCAGAACCTCCCAGTCAAACGGATGTGAGTTGTTTATTGATTGCTGTGTCAGGCTAATAAGTTGCTTCATTAAACAAAAAACCCATGGAATAGGCTGGGACTTTTCTTCTCTGGAGCATAGGAGGTTGAAGGGTAACCTTATGGAGGTTTATAAAATCATAAGGAACATAGATAAGGTAAATAGCAAGAGGTTTTTCTCTAGGGTAGAGTGTGTTCAAAACTAGGGGGTATATTTTTAGGATGAGAGGAAAGATTTAAAAAGGACATGAGGGACAATGTTTTTACACAAAGAGTGGTGTGCAGAATGAACTGCCAGAGGAAGCGATGGATGCAGGTACAGTTACAACATTTAAAAGACATTTGATTAAGTACATGAATAGGAAAAGTTTGAAGGGATATGAGCCAAATGAAGGCAAGTGGGACCAGTTTGGTTGGGAACATGGTCGGCGTGGACTAGTTGAACTGAAGGGTCTGTTTCCATGCTATATGACCGTATGACTATGACTCTATAACTGTGGATGCTGGAAATCGGAAACGAATCAAAACAGTTCTGAAGAAGGGTCACTGGACCCAAAATGTTAATTCTGCTTTCTCTCCACAGAAAAGTGCCAGGCCTGCTGAGTTTTCCAGCAATTTCTGTTTTTGCTTCTAATAATTTGCTTGTTCATGTGCCATATGTAATATTTGCGGAAACTTTTAAAACCAGCTTTGTTAGCATTTTAATTGCCTGGTCAATTTTCAATTGAATGTAATGCATTACCTTTAAAGACAATATTTTCCTAAAATACTTTCATTGTGAACACAGTTAAAAAGTGTGTAGCTAATTCTCTGACCCAGACTGTAGTGTAACAGCATTCTTACTGCAATATAAATAAAGTCTTTAAATGACAAAACAACTCTCTGTACTTGAATGAATAAGCCACTTTTAGCAGTCACCCCACTTCTGTATGGTGCTTTTTTTATGGTAGCTCAATGTTAATTTGCTATCATAACCTATCATGTTAAGTGGAATGTTTTGGCTAATTTATTTGTAAATATTACTTCTACCTTCTCTGCCTAGAATAATAGCTCTCCAGTTTGAAGAATCATGCAATAAATTCTCTGAAGCCTCTGACAATCTTGTCACTGATTTCATTGTATTCTTGTTGCAGGTAGAAAACATGCTCAGAAAGGTAATCAGCGCCGAGCTATACAGCAAGAAGATCGGGTCAAGGAGCAGAGAATGGCACTGAAAGAGCCACAGAAGCACAACTCTGCTCGGCGAAAACTCTCCACAGAGGCAGCTAACAGGCGGTTAGTGTCACATGGGAAGTGCAAGAAGCTCTCCTATCCTGCAGCTGGCCAGCCTGTCAAGGCCCACAAGGAACCACTGCAGTTGGTTATATTAGTTCTGATTGCAGTGGGGGGAAGTTGTGCTCTATCGAGATTAAACATTTCCAGTCTTCATGCATCAAACCCCACAATGAGAATTGGATATTTTCAAAACATCATGGATCCTAATCATAATATAATTATTGGGTTTTGACCCCTTGCTGAAATGACAACCAAGTTAAGCAGAGTTTGCAGGCCGTAGAGGCTTAGGCATTAGCTTACCATTTCAAGAGTCTGAGTTCAAATCTAACTCTGATTGCTGGGATGAACAAATGAATCAAGGGCAACAGGAGGCTGTTCAGCCCCTTGAATCTGATCTGCTATTCAATAAGATCACAGCTGAGCTAAATGTGGTCTCAAATCCACATTCCTGCCTACCACTGATAACAGCGGTTCTTCTGTTGTAGGACCAATGGACCTGAAGCATCACAGCAATCCAGTTTGGTCTTACCTGTGCTGACTCTTCAACCAGAATTAGATGAGACACAGATACTTGTTACATCACTGACACCCCTTTTGATCCAGATAGATCCTTCTGAATCACCTCGAGCTCCAACATTGCAGGAATGTGCAATCATCGTCCGACACTTACACAATACCAGCAGCTTACAGTCTCAGGAGGTAAGAATTTCGTGTTTACTGAGCTTTTAGCGCTGTTATTCTCCTTGGGCACAGTATCACTGTGCAATCCTGTTAGAGGACCTGCGTCAATATGACTAGGGGAAGTGCAGTTTGTACCTTGGTAACTGTAGCTAACTGGAGTATATCAGATTGTATCATGTAATCTGCTCATTTTCAGTGATAGATCACTGAGCTTCAGCTGTTCACTAGCAGATCATTTAACTTCAACAGATAAATTACAAATAAATTACAAAGATAAATAATAGAAATTACAAACTCTGCTATCCTCAAAATATCTTCACATACAATTAACTCATTGTTAGGGAGTTGAGACTGGAACCATCCACTAAGACTTGATCTATCATTGAGGCCTTTGGGACTTTAATTATGTTTGTATAATGTTGCATAATGCTGTGTTATAGTACTATCGCATGAGCTAGTTTCTATTATAATGATGCAAATCTAAAGCTACCCTGGATGCTTTACAAATTACCTATATTAGAAGGCAGAGTACCGCATGCTTCCAGACCTAGGAAATAAATAAATATGCATTGGCCTCTGTTTCTGACCCTGTAGCAATCATCCTACTGTTTGTATAATCATTTACATTCAATGGTCTCTTTTAGCTCCTGCGTTTGAAGACGAGTTTGAAAGATCTGCTATACTCCAACAAATGGACTCCGGATGCCTACCTCCTTGCTAAGGCTTACCTAGCTGATTTGAGCCAGTGAGTAATGGGAATGTTTATTCCAATCTTGTAGGAAGTACAATACTGTTTAATAACTAAAGTATGAACAAAGGGAGACTCGCTTGGGATCAGTTAGAGCAAATTATCATTGTTGTACCCCACATGCAATTTTCTAACCCCTAAATGTCCCTTTCTATAAGTGAGCATATTGCATATTGCAGGTTGTCTTCTGAGGAAAGATTGTACAGGCTGGGCTTGTTTTCACTAGAGCTCAGAAGAGCGAGGGATGATTTGATTGAAGCTTATAAGATCTGATGATCTTGACATGTTGGACATGGAAAAGATATTTTTTCTTGTGGGTGAGTCCAAAACTAGGAGACACTTTCAAATTAGGGTCCACCTAATTTTAGGACAGAGATACTTCTTTGAGGGTTGTATAACTTTGGAATTCTTTGTCTCAGAAGGCAGTGGAGGATCATTGAATATTTTTAAGTTGGAAGTGGACAGTTTCTAGTTTGGCTATTGAAAATAGACAGGAACGTAAAATTCCAAACACAATATGATCACCAATGATCTTATTGAATAACAGAGCAGGCTTGAAGGGCTGAATAGCCTACTTCTCCTAATTCGTATTCTTCTCACAGTGACAATCACTTCTGAAGCAGAAAATTAGTGTAGAATCAAATCACTGCCAATTTTTGATTGTATTTCAACTTTAGCCAATGCTGAAGCAGCTTTCGTCATCAAGTTAGTTCCCAGTTTCAGTCAGAGTTCTGTAAAAGTCTCTAGATTTCATTCTGACTCCCTGCAGCCTGTAACCCCTTTCTATCGGGCATCTACACCAATTTGGTGGGAGGCCTCACAAGTATAACAGCTTGGTCCTTGTGATATGTTGTGCAAAAGGGACAAAAAATTATGGGATTATTTACCCTCAATGAGAGCTATTCAGGGGGTGGTATATTGTTAAAGTAATAGGACATATGAAATGGTCGAGAGTGAGTAACTTTGTGTTTGTTTTCCTCCCAGGGAACGGGATGTTGTGCAGCTGCCCAAAGTGCCTTTGAAAGAACCACCAAAAAAACTGTAAGTTTACTGAGCATTTTGGTGTCAACCTGAAGCAAACATTGAAAGTGCTCAACTATCACTCGAGATCAAGAAGTGTCAGACGATTTTCCCATTTAATGTGTTACACTGACCTTAGTCACAGCTAACTCAGACAGGGCAAATTTAGAACAGCCAAGGGAATGAAGAGTGACTTTAAGGGGCAAGTTAAAATGTTTTCAGTTATTTGATGCTGTATACCTTGAATACAGTCTGACTCTGTTGTCGCAACCTTGGTGGGAACAGTGCACTGGAGAATTAAGCTCTACTATTCCATGAATCATCACAAGTGTGCATATGAGCAGTGTAATCTCTAGGCTGTTTAATGTCTGGCAGCGACCACTACCTAAGAAAGAAGGAATTCATGTCAGGTTTCAACATTTAACAACTAAAACAAAAACCTGTTATTATAACAAACTAACATGTAGCAAAACGGATTATTAATCACCAATATGCGAAATTAAACTGCTCCCTTTTAAATCCTAACATTTTCATAAATATGATAAGACAGATATATTTGTAAGAATATGATGAAAATGCAGACAACAGGAAACAAGGTTTGTGAATCAGGAATCGAAACCACAAGAGAAACGAGGTGACTTTTTCATTGTTCTGTTTTGCTTTTTGATGATGATACCATATTGTCAACTGCGGAGATCCTCATTTTGGTAGGTGGTCAGTTGGACGTAGGTCTTGGCTTGAGTTAGAAGTTTTTCTCTTTGAAGAGTTTTTAAGTGTTATTTATTTTCCGGGAAAGAAAGTAATGTAGCTTGGTTGCATGCTTTTGGAGGTCTGAGAGCCTGATTGTATCCTCTCTCCTTTCAGCTCTGTGATAAACTGCTACTTACTTGTTAAAAAAAGTTTGTGGCCATGTGTAGCCAATAAATGACGACACAATTTCACTTTCCCTTTGAGTTATAGTAAACAATTGGTTCATTCTTGCAACAAACCAGTCTAAACTCCATTTCCCCTTTATGTTAGAAACAAAATAAATGTAGTCCTTCCATTAGTATTCTGGAGCCTGCATCAACTAATCAGAATGCATCAACCTGTAACCTATGGAAGGAATAGGCAGCAAGGGCTATAGTATGGTGTATGCCCATGTATGCTGGAATGGGACTCAAAAACCTCCCATGTATATTGACTCTTGTGTCTTGTAGCCTACCTCCCCCTGTCCCTCACAGAATTCTCACCACTGATGCTCCTTTTGGTGCTCAATTAATTCCTGCCTACAGTATTTTTGCTGACTTTGTTGCATCTGAAACTCCTCTTTCCTGGCTGTGCTTTCTCAGTGCTGCAGTAATATTACACTTCCGCAATACCATTTTAGTTGCACTGAGAGTGCCCAGGTAGCCTTGAAAGCCGCAGGAGCTAAGTGTGGGTAGAAGAGAAAGGTTCAAATAAAAATAAAACAGTGTTCATGTGCTGGTAAAACCGCTTCATTGGAATTTGGGTACAGTGCTGGAGCATGTAAAGGCAGCAAGAACTGCAGATGCTGGAGTCAGAAATCACAGTGTGGAGCTGGAGGAACACAGCAGGCCAGGCAGCGTCAGGGGAGCAGGAAAATTGACGTTTCAGGTTGGGTCTGAAGAAGGGTCCCGACCCAAAACATCAACTTTCCTACTCCTTTGATGCTGCCTGGCCTGCTGTGTTCCTCCAGCTCCACACTGTATTATCTCTGGAGCATGTAAAGATGTACAATAGATGAGAACCTAGGAAGCTCAGGATTGTCTGTTATCTCAATTATCTCCAATTATCCCCCACTAATTCCAGCTCTTCGTGAGGTTGGAGTAGGGTGGTGATGCCAGAAGTAGGGGGGGAGGGGGTCAATGACAGGGATGGATGACATTCTTTTGCAGATAAGACAGTCCTGCAAATAAAATTACTGCGTATCATTAGGAATCATTTAGAAACCCCGCGTCAGGAATTGGAGGCAAATGTAAAATATTAGACTCAGGGCAGTAGAATCTGATAAATGACTCCTGGTCTCTCTTGAAGAATCATGTTGGGATGCAATGTCCACGGGAACTAAAACATTTTCTTACCTAATCCAAGCTTCTTACATAGATCCAGCAGAGTAATTGATGGGATATTCAACATGAGTGGCAAGGGTAGGCACAATTGAACCCAGTCTTGCTATTAATGCCTACACAAGGGAATTGTCCGTGGGAGGGTGGGAATGGGTGTTATATGTGTTTTTCACTGACCAGTAGAGACCAATATCCCATATATTTTATTAATCACTTTATCACTTTCATATACATCCAGGTGTCTCTCTCCTGTACTCACTTTCAAATTGTTTCTTTTTCCTTTATTGTCTTGCCATGTTCTTCCAACCAAAGTGAATTACTTCACACTTTGCTGCCTTTAATTTCATCTGCCACATTCTGCTCATTGCACCAGTCTGTCTCTGTCCTCTGGAAATCCATCACTATCCTCTACACTGTTCACAATCCAAGTTTTGACTCAACTGAAAATTTTGAAATTGAGCTCTGTACACCTAAATCTAGGTCATTAATATAGATTGAGAGGACCAGTGGCCCCAATACTGACTCCTAGGGAACATCACGGTGCAGTTTCCTCAGTCCAACATAATAACTTTTCAACACACACTGTTTCCTGTCACTCACTCAACTTTGTCTTCATTACAATGTCTTCATTACGATGCTGTTGCTTTTGCACCATGGGCTTCAACTTTGCTGATAAGCCTGTTTTGTGGCACTGTATCAAATTCCTTTGGAAGTCTGTGTGCCCACATCAATCACATTATCCATATCTGTTACTGCAAAGAACTCAAAACAATTAAGTTAAATATGATTTTCCCTTAATTCACACTGGCTTTCCTTAATTAATCCATACCTGTCGAACAAAGGACCAATGCCTCTACAGTTTCCACTCTTAGCTCCCTCAATATCATGGGAAACATCCAATCCTGGTGACTTATTAGATTTAAGTACAGTCAACCTTTCTATCACTGCGTTATCATATTTTGGCCCATACAGTTCTCAGCTGCACTCTTGACTACAACTTTGCAACTGACTTTACGTAGAAAGAAGGTAGGTGCTGTCAAAGTACACAGTTAGTAACTTAGCCATGCTTCCTGTCTCCACGTGTAAATCCCCTTTTAGGTCCATAATTAGCCCTACTCCTCCTTTAACTACTCTTTCACAGTTTATTTAGCTATAGACTATATTGACTACAGCTTAAATAGACTAGATAGACAAAGCTATGGACAACCTTCAGATGCCCTTTCACGTTCACTGCCAATCTGTTCTCATACTCTCTCTTTGCAGCTCTTATTTCACTTTTCACTCCCCCTAGAAATTCACAGAATCACAGAAGTGTTACGGTGCAGAAGGAGACCATTCAGCCCATATTGTCTGTACCGGCTCATTAAATTGGCATCATTACCTAGTGCCAATCTCCTGCTTTTTCCCCATTCCCTTGCACATTACTTTTATCCAATCATCCAATGTTCTCTTGAATGTCTCAACTTTTATATATTCAGCCTTGTTCTTACTTGTATCATCCACCTGACATCTGTCATATGTACCCTTTACAACTTCATATTACCTTCCATCTGTTTTGTCATCCAGGGAATTCAGGCTTTCCCACCATTCCCCAGGTGCAAATTTACCTCAACTAAGCCCAAACTATATCCTCTTAAGAGGCAACCCATAGCTTCTCACGTCTTTGATTCCAGTTTCCATGGGCCAGGTCCATTCTTAACCTGTTGAAATTAGCCCTCCCTTCAATTTTACTCTGCATTACTCTTAATTCTTTTCTGTGACTAACCTAACCAATGCTACAGTCACTTGCCCCTAAATGTTCCTCATAGACACTTGATCCATTTCCGCCACATCATTCCCCAGAACCAGACTGCCTCCTTTCTCACTGGACTGGAAATACATGGATATATAAAATTCTTAAATATAAATCTTCTTCTCCTCCTCTGTACATTATTCTCTTATTGTTCGAGGCTACATTAGGATGATTCAAATCCCCCCATTATAACTAACTACTCTGTGGTTTAAGACATCTCTCTAATTTTCTTGCACGTGTTTCTTTAAATCTTTCGTAACTGTTGGCGGCTATAGACCCATAGCCTGGAGGTGTTGTTTCGTATGAAGAAAGGTAGTTTGGGTTGGCTTGTGTCTGCTGGAGTTTTGAAGAATAAGAGGTAATTTGATTGCAGCATTTCAGGGGTTTTGACAGACTACATTCCTTCTTATGGGAGAATCTAGAATGGTTTAAAAATCAGATGTTGCGTATTTAAAAGAGATGAGGTGACATTTTTTCTATGATTGTTGTGAGTCTTTGGAACTTGCTACCTGAAAAAGTGATGGAAGCAGGATCCTGGATTTTTTTTAAGGCAGAAGATAAATAGATTTTTAAGACCTTAAAACCATAAGAAAAATAGAGTTAATATTTCAAGTCCAGTGTGATTGTTCTACAAGAAGAAGAATTCTGAAGAAGAGTCATAATGAACTTGAAACATTAATTCTGTTTCTGTCTCCAGATTCTGCCACACCTGCTGAGTTTCTCCAGCATTCTCTGTGTTTGTCTCAGATTTCCAGCATTTGCAATATTTTGCTTTTGTTCGAGCAGATAATCCTTCACTCCACCTTTCCTGCCATATCCCAGAACCCTTGATTCCCTTACTGCTTAAAAATCTATCTGAATCAATCCTGAATACACTTTAGGACACAAACTTTACAGTCATCTAAGATAAGGAATTCCACAGATCCAATATCCTCTGAGAGGAGAAATTCCTCCTCAGCTCTGTCTTAAATTAGCAACTCCTTACACTATGTTTATACTCTCCGGTCCTAGATTCACCCGCATGGGGAAACAACCTTTCCACATCTACATTGTCAAACCCCGTAAAAATCTTATGTTTCAATGAGGTCTCCTCTCATTCTTCTAAACTCTAATGAGTACAAGCCCAAACTGCTCAACCTCTCCTCGTAAGAAAATCCCTCCAGACTTGAAATCAACCTAGTAAACCTATTCTTATTTAAAAAACCAAAAGAGCTGCAGATGCTGGAAATCTGAAACAAAACAGAAATTGCTGGAAAATCTCAGCAGGTTTGGTAGCCTCTGTGGAGAGAAATCAGAGTTAACATTTCGGGTCCTGTGACCCATCTCCAGAACTGATGGTAGCTAGGAAACGGATAGTTTTTACATGAAAGATGGAGTAGGAGGAGAGTAAGGGAGAGTAGGTGGAGATAGAACCCAAAGAGAGAGAAAAACAGTTGGACAGACAATGGAGTGTTTAAAGATCAGTCTGCGGGAATGAGCAACTGCTAATTGATTCATTGATTCATAGATTTATATATACATACGGTGCAGAAAAGGCCCTTCAGCCCATTGAGTTTGCACCAAGACAGGTGGAGGGGCAGGTAGTGGGAGGCTGCAGAAGGAATTGGACAGACTAGGAGAGTGGGCAGCACGGTGGCACAGTGGTTAGCACTGCTGCCTCACAGCGCCAGCGACTCCTGGTTCAATTCCACCCTCAGGTGACTGTCTGCGTGGAGTTTGCACATTCTCCCCGTGTCTGCGTGAGTTTCCTCCAGGTGCTCCGGTTTCCTCCCACAGTCGAAAAAATGCACAGACTAGGTGGATTGGCCATGCTAAATTGCCCGTAGTGTTCAGGGATGTGTAGATTAGGTGGGTTATAGGGGGATGGGTCTGGGTGGGATGCTCCAAGGGTCAGTGTGGACTTGTTGGGCCGAATGGCCTGTTTCCACACTGTAGGGATTCTATGATAACTACCACTAAAGGTGCTAATCCTAACTGCTTGCACTTGTCACATATTCCTGAATGTTATGACTTCTCAAGTGTTCATCCAAATACTTTTTAAACATTGTAAGGTTTTTGGCCTCTATTAGCGTCACAGACAGTGCATTCCAGATTCCTACCACCTACTGAGTTTTCCCAAATCCCCTCTGAATCTCCTACCCCGTATCCTCAAACTATGCCCTCTCATGATTGACCCCTCAACCAAAAGGAACAGCTGTTCTCTATTCACTCTGTCGTACCCCTCATACTCTTATACACCTCAAACATGCCCTCTCTCAGTCTTCTATGCTCTAAAGAAAACAATCCAGGCCTGTCTAGTCTCTCCTTATAGCTCAATTGCTCCATCCCAGGCAACATCCTGGTGAACCACCTCTGTACACTCTCTAGTGCTATCACATCCTTCCTATAGTGAGGTGACCAGAACTACACACAGTACTCCAGCTGTGGCCTAACTAACGGTTTGTACAACTCCAACATTACATCCTTGTTCTTATACTCTATGCCACGACTGATGAAAGCAAGTGTCCCATATGCCTTCTTAACTATCCTATTCACATGGTCTGCCAAATTCAGGGGTCTGTAAATAATTACCCCGACATCTGTCTGTTCCTCTCAGCTACCCAGTGTCCTGCCATTCATTAAATACTCCATCTTGTTTATTCTTCCAAAGAGCATTACCTGACATTTATCATGGTTAAATACCATCTGCCACTGGTCTGCCCATCTGACCAACTGATCTATATCTTCCTGTAACCATCTTCTTCACTGTCAATCACTCTACCAATCTTAGTGTCATCTGCAAATTGTCTTAACATTCCCCCCACATTTTCATCTGTACCATTTATATATATAGCAAACAATAAAGGTCCCAATACTGATCCTTATGGTACACCACTGGACACCAGCCTCCAGTCACTCGAACAGCCTTCTACCACTAACCTTTGTGTTCTATGACTAAGCCAGTTTCTGATCCATCTTGGCAAGTTTCCCTCAATTCCATGTGCTTTAACCTTCTCAATCAGTCTCCCATGTAGGACCTTGTCAAAAGCTTTGCTAAGATCCATATAAACTACGTCAACTGAACATCCCTCACCCATACACTTGATCACATTTTTGAAAAATTCTAACAAATTTGTTATGCATGACCTCCCTCTGACAAAGTCATACTGACTATCTCTAATTAACCCATGCCTTTCCAAGTGGGTATTAATCCGCTCCTTCAGAATTTTCTCCAATAGCTTCCCTACCACTGACATGAGACTCGCCGATCTATAATTTCCTGGTTCACCTCTACCACCCTTCTTGAGAAGTGGAATCACATTATCTGCCCTCCAGTCCTCTGGCACTCCCCTGTGGCCAGGCAGGAATTAAAAATTTGTGTCAGAGCCGCTGCAGTTTCCTGCCCTGCCTCTCACAGCAGCCTGGGATGCAATTCATTTGTCTGGCTTTAAGCCCGACAGTCTCCAATACCTCCCCATTTACTATTTCAAACTGTGTAAGCTCCTCACAGTCCTTTTTCCTAAATTCCGTACCTACATTCTCCTTTTCCAGAGTTTTTTTTATTCATTCATGGGATGAGGGCTAGGCCGCATTTATTGCCCATCCCTAATTGCCCAGAGGGCAGTAAAGAGTCAACCACATTGCTGTGGGTCTGGAGTCACATGTAGGCCAGACCAGGTAAGGATGGCAGTTTCCTTCCCTAAAGGACATTAGTGAACCAGATGGATTTTTCCAACAATTGACAATGGATTCACGGTCATCATTTGACCCTTAATTCCAGATATTTATTCAATTTAAATTCCACCATCTGCCGAGGTGGGATTCGAACCTGGGTCCCCAGAACATTGTCTAGGTCTCTGGATTAGCAGTCCAGTGATAATAACACGAGGCCATTGCCTCCCCAGATTGAAGACTGAAGAGAAGTATTCATTAACACCCTTCCAATATCCTACGGCTTCACACACACGTTGCCTCCTTGTTCCCTAACGGGCCCTACTGTTTCCCTAATTAACCTCTTCCCTTTAATGTATTTATAAAATATCTAAGGATGCTCTCTAATCCTGTTTGCAAGTCCTTTATCATGCCCTCTTTTTGTTTTTTCTAATTGCTTTCTTAGGTTTCTTGGTGCACTTCCTGTATTCCTCAAGGGCCGCAGCTGAATTGCTCCCTTTGGATTTGCTATAAGCCCTTCTCTTCTTCCTCCTCCAGTCCTGAATTGTCCCAGACATCTAGGGTTCAGAGAACCTAGTGCTCCTAGATTTTCCTTTAAAGGATACCTGTTGGGACCTGTACTCTCCCCAGTTTCCTTTTTGAATGCGCCCCACTGCTCCGCTGTAGAGTTAATGCTGTAGACTAATGCACCGCTGTAGTGTGCGGTGACAGCCCATGTGATGACACGGCCTGGTGTATGGGGATGGGGGCAAGCATGGGGAAAGGTGCTTAAGTCCTAAAGTTGTTGAACTCGATATTAAGTCCAGAAGGCTGCAGGGTTCCCGAGTGAAATATGAGGTGTTCTTCCAGCTTGTACTGAGCTGCTTGTTCCTAGTTTACATTTTGTTTCTCTCTAATGTTCTCAAGTCCTTGCTAAGTTAGTTTGAACACTGGAAGTCCCAGATCCTACGATCAGTTCTGCGCTAGGTGTGGCAGTATCCTTTTTTTCCAGCTGCATTCTCAGACTTATGCTCTCTCTCCATAGACCTGAAACCATGCTACCAACAGCGGACAGAGTCATACTTCCTGCATTGAAGCATACAGTGGGAAACCGAGCCACAGAGAGACAGAGGCGACTGCAGGCCGTGCAGAAGAACCGCTGTCGGAAGGTTCTACTGTAGCACTCTGAGTCAGTGAGAGACTCTAGTGCACAGAAGCTCTATGGCCACTAAATTTATATCTGCACTTAATAATCTGAAGCACATGCACTCTTGTGGACATTGATGTGAATGGACTGACTGTGTGCATTTGTTCTACAGGAGAACCTGCTTTACTATGCATTAAAATATTCCTTAAACTAGCTCTACATCCCATCTTGTACGTGAATACTAATATCAGTGCAGATAGCCTTCTATAAGCAGGGACAGCAGGTGGCGGCAACCGACATGCCCTGGCCTGGATGGTAGGTCAGGACCTGTGACCTGTATGAACAGATAGCCACCAAACCATGATTCCATCAAAGCAGCCTGGATATGATTGGTGTCCAACTTAATGGCAGCTGACAGAGGGGGAGCTGAGAGATCATGCCACACTGTGGGAGCAGTCTGTGTTCCTTCTAGATTACATGCTGTTAAGGCAGGCAGTGATTTTAAAACAACCTTTAACCCTTTTCCTTTAAAGGAAAAGCTGCTCTCTCTTTTTCCTAATCACTCTTTTTCTTGGAATGTATTGTGTCTATGAAGGGTGATTAACAACACCCTTGCTCTGCAGGCAATTAATCAGTTGCCTTAAGAGGAAAAGGTGGGGTCTGCAGGCTTTCCTGGAAATAGTGCAACTGGAATAATTACACTGGTGTCAGGGTGATTACAAACCCACGTTCCTCATTCTGTCAGGGTGTAATGTGTGTAATAGCAATGTCAGAACAGGTATCCACAGCTACAGGGCCCCTATCCCTTTGATGGGTGGGTCAGAAGTATGCATTTGGCCATTGCATCAATGGATGATTTTGGAGACATAGCTGACAATGACCCACAGTGAAAATTCAACATAACAGATTACAATGGGAGGTAGATAAGAAAAGGTAATGGTAGCCTTAGTGGTTTTGAATTAAATTACTTCAATAATAACTTAGATATAACAGGGGGTAGACAGACTGTGGAGACATTGCAGGTACATTTCAGAGGTAGATTGTATAAATGCAGAAATTAGACAAACGTTTGGCAAAGGCAGATAGTTTAACAGGAGATTTTAACTTTAATACAAATTGGGATATGTCAGAAAGTTAGTGAATTTCTTAAATGGGCAGGATTTCTGCAACAATTTATCCAAGAGCCAATGAGGAATATGTCATTTTAGAATTAGTAATGAGTAATGAGACAGACAGTAGTCATAATCTGATTAAATTTAATGTAGTGTTTGAAAAGGAGGAGTGCGAATTGGTTACGAAGATTCTACATTTAATAAGACTGATTTCACTGTTATGAAGGAGAATATCCACAGCAAATGGTACACATAGGTAATGAGAAAAATATTTGAAGATCAATAGGTGGTTTTCCAAAAGAATTTAAAGTGACATACATTGTACCTTAACTAGTTCTATCACTGCAAAAACAAAACCAGAGATGACTGAAATGGACAGAGACAACATAAAACTAAATGTGTTAAGAAGAACAAAAAAAAACTCTAACAAACAGGAAGATACAAGTCACAGTAAAGGACAACAAAACAGTAACAGCAACAAAAATGGCACATGAAAAACCTACAGATGATTAAAATCAATATTTTACAATTCTATTAGGAAGAAGAGTGGTCAGGAACATTGATGTCAATAAGCTGGTGACAGTGAAATTACGGAATTAGTGAAGATATTTGATAATTATTTTCCATCGGCGTTTACAGAAATGAAAGAGGGCAGAATGCCAGCTATTCTGCAAAACTAATACTGAATCAGAGTCGGAGTCACCAAACACTAACCTGAGCAAAATAACAGAAGCAAAGATAAGGAAGAAGAGGAAAAAGACAGAGGGGAAGAAAACACAAGAGAGAGGGGGAGGAAAGTAAAAAGAAATGGGCAGAGTGGACGAGCTCAGGCCAGAGCATCCTACTTCACCACTATCTTGTTGTAGCTTATCATTGCCAGATTGTTAATCTTTAGGTCTAATAGCTTTTCTAACAAAGTTCACAAGCCACAATGGCCTTCATCCTTAAAAGTCCTAAAAGAACTGGCTGCAGAAATAGTGGACGCAATGGTCGTAATCTTTCAAAATTCCTTTGATCCTGGAAGGATTGGAAAATGGGTAAAGTGACACATATTGAGGAAAAGATGGAGTCAGAAGGCAGGAGATTATAGGCTAGTTAGCCTAGCATCTGTCATAGGGCAAGTGCTAGAATCCATTTTTGAGGTTAGGGGAAGATTCTTAGACAATCATTATGCATAGTCAACATGGCTTTGTGAAAGGCATTTCTGAAGAAGGGTCTAGGCCCGAAACGTCAGCTTTCCTGCTCCTCTGATGCTGCTTGGCCTGCTGTGTTCATCCAGCTCTACACCTTGTTATCTCATGCTCTCATGCTAACATCTCTGTTGTAGGCCTGTTGCAGTGTTCAGCAAAACACAACATTTACTCGAGGAGCAACAGCCCATATTTGACTTGATAGAGGTATACAAAATGATCAGAGTTATAGATCGAGTAGACAACCAGAGACTTTTTTCTAGGGTGGAGGTAGCTATTACGAGGTGGCATATTTTTAAAGTGAGTGGAGGTAGATATAGGGGAGACGTCAGAGATATGTTCTTTACTCAGAGAGTGGTCGGGGCATGGAATGCATTGCCAGAAAGGGTAGTGGAGTCGGCCTCATTAGGGGCATTTAAGAGGCTATTAGATAGGCATATGGATGATAGTATAAGGTAGGGGTGGAGGTTAGGTAGTCCTTAGGTTTAGGGTAAAAGCTCGGCACAACATCGTGGGCCGAAGGGCCTGTACTGTGCTGTACTGTTCTATGTTGTATGTTCTATATTTTGCCTAGGCACTTTACGTCTTTCAGGACTATTAAATTCAACAAATTTGGTGGTAATCTGTTAGAGTTTTTTTGGAGAAAGTAGCGTGCAAGATGAAGGGGAACCTATGGATGTGGTGTGCTTATATTTCCAATAGGCATATGGTAAGCTCACACAAAGATTGTTAAACAAGAGCTCATAATGCAAAGAGTGACATATTAACACATAAAGGATTGGAAAGCTGAGAGGAATCAGACAGTAGTGAGAACTGGGTCTTTTTGAGATTGGCAAGCTGATAAGTGAATGCTACAGGGATGAGGTGCTGTGACCTCAGCTATTTATAATCGATAATCATTTGGATGAAGGGACTGGATGTATGGAGCTAAGTTTGCCAATGCCACTAAGAGATATAGGAAAATAAGTTGTCAAGAGCAGGTAGGGAGTCTGGTTTGGTGAGTGAGCACAAAATTGGTAGATGCAGCAAAATGTGGGTAAATGTGAACTTCTCCACTTTGGCAGCGAGAATAGAAAAGCAGTATGCTATTTAAATGGGGAGAAATTGCAGAACTTGGTGGTACAGAGGGATTTAGGTGTTATATTTGTGCACCACATAAAACTAGCATGCTGATGCATAGGATTAGGAAGACATATGCAATGTTGCTGTTTATTGTGAGGGAAATGGAATACAGGCGGTCCCCAATCTATAAACTTATAAATGAGATCCCATTTTAATATAAATTTTAAGGATCTTACATGCAAATGTTTGCTCATACTTAGATATTGTATTGGATTGTGTTCTGACTTGCATACAAATTGACTTACAGATGTACTCGGGAATGGGACTTGTACTTAGCCTGAGGACTACTTGTATAAGAACATAAGAACTAGGAGCAGGAGTAGGCCATTCATCCCCTCGAGCCTGCTCCACCAATCAGTACGATCACGGCTGATCTCTTCAACTCCATTTCCTGCTGATTCCCCATAAGTAAGAACATTAGAAAACCGCTGAAACCCAGGATTGAACCAGGGACTTCTTAAATCTTCAGTCTAACACTCTCCCAACTGAGCTATTTCAACTGGGCAAAGATGTCAGTGAACCAGGTAGGTTTTTGTAACAGCTGTCAACATTACTCCATATTTATTAGGAAATTTAGGACATTGGTGCAACCATATGTGGAATACTGTGCACACTTTCAGACTCCTTATTTGTAAAAATGATATAATTGCTTTAGAGGCAGTTTGAGAACATTAACTCACTAATTCCTGGGATCAAAGGATTATCCTACAGAGAAAAGTTGAATAGAGTCATAGAGCTGTACAACATGGAAACAGACCCTTCGGTCCAATGCGTCCATGTGACCAGATAACTTAATCTAGTCCCATCTGCCAGCATTTGGTCCATGTCCCTCTAAACCCTTCCTACTCATATACCCATGTTGGAATTGTACCAGCCTCCACCACTTCCTCTGGCAGCTCCTTCCATACACGCACCACCATCTGTGTGAAAAAGTTGCCTCTTAAGTCCCTTTTAAATCTTTCTCCTCTCATCTTAAATCTATGCCCTTTAGTTTTGAACACCCCTATCCTGGGGAAAAGACTGTGGCTATTTACCCTATCCATGCCCCTCATGATTTTATAAACTTCTGTAAGGTCACCCCTCAGCCTCCGACGCTCCACAGAAAATGGCCCCAGCCTATTCAGCCACTCCCTATAGCTGAAACCCTCCAACCCTGGCAATATCCTTGTAAATCTTTTCTGAACCCTTTCAAGTTTCAGAACATCCTTCCTATCCAGGGAGACCAGAATTTCATAAAGTATTCCAAAAGTGGCCTAACCAATGTCCTGTACAGCTGCAACATGACCTCCCAATCCCTATACTCAATGCACTGACCAATAAAGGCAAGCATACCAAATGCCTTCTTCACTGTCCTATCTACCTACAACTCCACTTTAAAGGAACTGTGAACCCACATTCCACGGTCTCTTTATTCAACAACACTCCCCAGGACCTTACCATTAAGCGTATAAGTCCTGCCCTGATTTGCCTTTCCAAAATGCAGCACCTCACATTTATCTAAATTAAACTCCATCTGCAACTCCTTGGTCCATTGACCCATCCGATCAAGGTCCCATTGTACTCCGAGGTAGCCTTCTCCGCTGTCCACTACAGCACCAATTTTGGTGTCATCTGCAAACTTACTAGCCACACCTCTTATGTTCACATCCAAATCATTTATAATAAGTGACAAAAAGCAGTGAACCCAGCACTGATCCTTGTGGCACACCACTGGTCACAGGCCTCCAGTCCAAAAAGCAACTCTCCACTCTTAAGCGAAAGATATAAACAGAAAAATACCCAAGACCTG